ATATAATTCCCTTAATTGAGATTGTTGTGCTAAACTAAGCTTAATATATAATTTAGCCATTTAGGCAGGGAATGGAAATATTATATCTTATGTAGGCTTTGATTGAGTGAGGTTAGGTTATGTTTAAGAAGTTTTTCTGTAAAAAAGAGAATTCTTCTATCAGACGTTTTCTGAAGTTTTTTTATAAGGCATTACTAAAATGAAGTTCATAGACAAAAACGAAATTAAAATGTGTAAACTTTTATAATCACTCTCATGTTTTAGGGGTGTTTGGAACTAAAAGCAGAATCAGAATAATTTTTCAGAAGCTGGTCTCCCCCAGTTTCTAAAAAAATTAATTCTAGGAGTAAATTAGAGCACCAGAAGTACTTATGCACTTTCATCCAACTTCGGCTTCTGCTCCTTGAAGGAACATACGCAGTTTTAAGAATCAGATTCAAACACTCCCTGAACATGTTTATAGTCAAAGTCAGAAGTCATGTTTTTATCCGTTATTCTTGTTTTGATCATTTATTACAAATTATTTAATATTTTCTTTTTCAAGTCATCATATGCTAGGAAAGGTGAATAAACTATCGAAGTTTTTCTAAAATATAAGTATATGGTTTATAACAATTGCATATTGAATTATTGACGATCAAGAAAAACATTTGCATACTCCGTATTATATTGGCAAAAATCAATACAAGTATACATTAATATGTACTAGGAGAAAACATTACATGCATATCATGCATTGAGTACGGCTAAATGGAGGAGACAAAATTGTACTACATCCAGCCTCATAACATTGTTATTTAAAACTTTGTGTAGGATCTATCCTCCGGAAATATATGATCGGAAATTTTCTCCGGACCTTAGCTGTTAAAACTTTTTATTTAGCTGTTATATTGTCTGTTTTGGGGGTTGTTTTAGATTGTGATATGTCACGATTTGACTGTTTTTGTTTGATGGGAAATGCCCCTATAAATTTGTGCTACCTCCGTAACGTAAATATCTTCCCACTTTCCTTATTTGGACGTAACATTAATATCTTCCAATTTCTAATTCTTCCCATTATACCCTCAATAATTTTAAAAATAATACACTATTACACCTACTTTTTTTGGATTTATCCTTCATTCCATCACATTATTTCACTATCTTCCCATCATACCCCTAATAATACATATCTCCTTTCACTATTCTTAATCTACCTACTTTTCAAATGGGAACATCCCAATGTTACGGAGGTAGTACATTTTCTCTTATGTATACTCCGTACAAATTTATTAAAATAAGAAGCATCATTCACCTCAAAAATTAGAATGAATATGGACAGTTATTTAGTCCCTGAAATAGTCACCAAATTGAAATGTCAGACATGTGTTCCCAAGTTTGTAAATGTCGTCTCTCAATTGTCCAAAATACCGTAAATGTGATCCCTTTAGGGGTGAAATATACAATGTGGGCGAGGGTACATTTCACCCTTAAAGGACCCACATTTACAACAATTTGGACAATTGAGAGGCAATATTTATAATCTCAGAAATACGGGTCTGATATTTCATTTTGATGACTATTTCAGGAACTAAAATTGCGATTTTCCCTTCCAAGTATATCAAGGTTTGAATAAAAATGCTAAAAATTTTCATAAATGAATCCAATTTTCCTATACCACAATGCATCCACATTTTTCAACTAAAACTTTGTCACTTTCCAATTTAAGTTATTCTTTCGGGGTGTATTATTTCTATCTCTTCCACACAAATAAGGAGTATTTCATATGACAAATTGGGACTCTGGGAGTAAGATATTAGAATACATACGTACAATTATATATGACGATTATGTCCTCTAATTCTGTCCCTTGTCAGGTCATCTGGTCTTCCAAAAGAACACGTTCTATATCTTTTCTTCCCCTTCTGTATATTCATGTTCTAGTGCGGGCCGTGCGGCCCCTCCATTATTTGTGTTTTGGAGTTTACTCTCTTTTGTAAACAAAGAAAACAGACAAACCTTATATGTGCCAGGTGACTATGAAAGTATGAGACAATCATACTCAATGAAATGGAACTACAAATACCTAAGCTCAGATATATTAGCAAAAAAAGGATGACACCCCATCCCTGAGGGCCCCCCACCACCGACCAGACGGCACGATGGGAGGATGTAAATTGGACTATAATCACAATCTGACAGATAGAGAGTGGGGCTCTGTCCCCGGTACTTGCAGAGGCCCTATGCATTTTTCAGCATAGTAACCCCTCATCGCAGTTGCCGGGATTCGAACCCGAGACCTAACCCTTGTGGCACTCCCTTGCTACCTACCAGTTGAGCTACGCCCACCGGTAGCTCAGATATATTAGCAATGCTATAGCTTGCAGCCTTGATGGTACTGGCAAACGTAAAAAAAGTGTCCCTCCAGAGTAATTAGGCCGTAGGTGCAGTGGTAGAGATACAGAGGGACCTGAAGGGGTTCCTATAACAAAAGAAAAATTGATATAGTGACATTGATATTGAGAAAGAAAAGTTCACCTCCGGGATATGAGGTGAAAAATTTTGTGAGTGTGTTTTACATGAAGTGTAGATTATTTCTACAAAATTTCAACTTAAAATTCGATTGAGAAGTCAGTTAAAGAAATTCTCCAAAAACACTATGCCAAAATACTAGTAAATGTAGATCATACTAGTATGTAGAATGTAGATCATATGAGAACATGATCTAAATAGGAAAATGAGAATGAATCTATTAGATCTGAGAATTGTACATTATATGAAATACAAATGTTCATTATCACGAGTGAAAAACTTTGTGTGAATACACTGAATGTGTGCCGTCAATCGTCATAAACCATAAATGTGCATCGTTTTCGGGTCGTAGAATGAAACTTTGACTGCTAAGTCAGTCCTAACAATAAATCTCTGTCGTAGAGATTATTCCTTGTTAATTCTATGAATTGTTTGTTTTACCATTGTATTCTATCATTCTCTGATTTGTTTGTTTATTTTATGAAATGTGGAGCCCTCATGGTCTACTGCTCAACATTTAAGAGCATCTTCAATGCTATAATGTCCACGGTGCACATGTGTCATGGGTGATAGCCACATAATTATTAGTAAATAAATTATTTCTCTCCTTATTTGAATGATTTTATATAATTTTAGTAAGTTTTTCCCTGCAATGTCAACAACAATGTCAACATTAGACGGTCTCTTTGACATTGTGGAGAATAACTTACCAAAACTGTATAAAATCATTCAAATAAGGAGAGAAATAATTTATTTGCTAATATTTATGTGGTCATCTCTCATGCCACGTGTGCACCGTGCACATTGTACCGTTGAAGATGCTCTAACATATACAAAAAATGGTTTAATAAGTGGGAAAAATAATTAAAATACCCCAAACTTTGAAGTGGTGTGAGATAAATACCCCAAACTTTCATATGTAATTTAAATACTCTAAACTTTATATAAAAAGTTATTTTAGCACCATGTTCATATATTACTTTTTTCAAAAATGGAAATTGATGTTAATTGCATAATTCAGAAAAAAAATTCAAAAATGCTCCAACTATATAGAGTTGGGGTAGTATTATTTATTTTACAATGGAAGTCTAGACTGTTAATTGTATCTTCATGAATGCTAAAATATTTTAAATTATGAAATTAACACAAAAAATTAACATTTTTGAAAGAAATAATGCATGATCATGGTGCTAAAATAACTTTTTATATAAAATTTAGGATACTTAAATTACATATGCAAGTTTGGGGTGCTTACCTCACACCCCTTCAAAGTTTGGGGTATTTTATTTATTTTTTCCTTAATAAGTTGGACAGCACTTTAGGAGAGAATGATTTGAGAGAGAGTAAGAAAGAAAGAATAGAAAATGAGTAAATGACAGTACTATTGTTTTATTTTAGAAACAGAATTAATCTGATACTCTGTATAACGGTATAAGAGGAATATATCCAAAATAAAGACAATAGATTAAGGGAATGAAGTCTATTTAAAAACAAGAGAGAACTTTATTGTCGAAAAGAAAACTGTCTCCATCAGAATTCAAAATAATGATGCTAAGAAGGGTTTTAAATGAAGAAAATGCAAACAGCATATCCTAGTTGGTATTGTTAATCTTGTTTCCTTCCTATAGCTGCTAGTGATGGCCTCGGTGTGGGCCACCCGACCCGGGAACCGGCTTGGCCCGGTACTGTGTGGGCCCGACCCAGGAACCGGGTACCAATTCCGGGTCTATGCCCGGTTTTAGGACGGAACCGGGGCGGTTCCGGGACTGTCTAAATGTGAACCGGCCTTTTATTATTAATTTTTTTTGGTTTGGGCTAGGTTTAAATGGGTTGGGCTGGGTGTTTCCGATGGGTTTGGGGGATGGGGGATAGGGGGATAGGGGATGAAATAATCAAGAAAACAAAAAAACAAAATAAAAAATAGAACCGGACCCGGCCCGACCCAAACCCGCCCCGGAACCGGTAGACAAATGTGCTAGTCCCGGGCCTAACCCATTGCTATCCAGACCCGGCCGGGCCTAGGCCTGACCCGGACATAAAATATAACCAACATAAAATAAACTCTTCCTCTTCATTTTCTTTCTCCCCATTTTCTATATTTCACTTTAAACCATAAATGGCCACACACATTTGGCAAAAAAGGAAAGACCTCCAGATAGATTACATGCACAAAATAGCAATAGAATAGTTGTTGAATATCAATGTGGCCAACTTCAATAATTAAACCAATTGTGTGTTCTCCCTGTTATGCACATAAATGGTGGAACAGTTTGGGTATGGGTGGCCCATAATCTTGCAAGGGCCGCTCATTCTATGCCACATAGCTATGTTTGGAATCATTTTCCTCCATCCGCTATAATGTTATCTTGAGCCATAATTTAATTGATAACAACTACGAGTAATTTTGTTTTTGCAAAAAACAAATGGTGAAACAAATGAAGGGGCACTTTTTTTATTTATTAAAGAAACAAGTTTTTCTCAATTATCACAACAACGCTTATATATAGAAAAACTATTTATACACGGTGAAAAAAAAGTAGACGTCGTGTACAAGCTGCTGTGAACACCACAAAAGTAGCCTTCATTGACTGTGTTTACACGACGTGTGCAACTCGGCGGCATGTACAAGAAGCAGGGCTGTTCTATACTACGTATATAATGTTTTTTGCACTACCAGGGATCATTTTGAGACTTGAATCTAGCAACTTTGACATCACAAAGTACATAGAATTCCCAAGACCTTTATCCAAACACTCCCCAAATTTTCTTAGCAACCCCCTGTAAGGTGTATTTGGGTCCAGGGAAATGCAAATGCAACTGACAGTTGGCTTCAAATAATTGATTTTACATTGGAAAATGCAAAGGCAAAAAATGTGAAGAAAATGTTTGGTTTTATGTTGTAAAATTCAAGACAAATTGCCTAAAGCATAATAAGTCTCTCCAAATATGACGCATATAGATGTTATCTTGCTTTGGGAAAGTAGTTATATATATATTTTTTACAAATATTTGGGACAATTATTTAAATTGCAAAGGAAAGTGTAATAATGTCATATGATTGATATTTACATATAGAAAGATTTTATATTGTTTCCATAATTGAAATTTTAAATGTATTCAACTATATATTTACATATATCCAACTAAATTTTTTGAGTTTAAATCTATTCTTTATTTCCCCAGATGCTTAAAATTTTGCCCCATATTTTATTCGCAATATTCATTACCTAGCATTTTCCAGGATCCAAACATACCCTCATTTAATGACCATATGTTCAACAGTCACTTATGATTATACCAAAGGCATCATCTAGAAGCTAGTACTTGGACACCCATCTTCTTAATCGCAACCTCTACAGGAAAACGGTTACATGAAAGCTTGCAGCGAAAATTAGAGATTTTTAAGAGAACCCTAGAGCAAGGTCTTCACAAAAATGTCAAAAACTGATACATAACTTTTATTTTAACTCCCAATTGTTAAAGTAAAGAATCAGTCCTACATTAAAGAATCCAAATCCAATTGTTAGTTTAACTCCCAATCTCTAGACAAATCCAATTGTTGTGTAAAGAAGCAGTCCTACATAAACAAGTAACAACACTTGAGAAACATGAGTGAAAAGCGTGAATATTCATATAATGCAGCGATGAAACAAAATGTTACCTTATACGAATAATCATTTGTGTATTCTCTCCTAGACTTTGGAATGTTGCAGTGATGCCAAAGATTTACAAGGCACACAGGGTGGTGATAACATGATATGAAATTGTTGAATGAAGCTGCTGTGGTATAATAATATTCATGTATATGGGAATTTGTGGCCTGTTTAGAAAATTCAGCCACAAGTCATGCACTTTCACCCGATTTTGCTGATTCACCCCACAGCTGTGTTACCAAACACACTCGTATTCTGCTTAAGTGTAATAAGCAAGAATTAGCCGATAAAGGCTGCCAATTGGGGGCTTTGTAATTTACACGTCAAGGTTTCTTAGCACAACGAACTAGTGCAATTCAAGTCGCAACATCTATCCAACTAGAGCCAATGTCTTTCTTTAGCCCCTTTCCTCTTATGTGTTCCCTCACTTCCTCAATCTCACTCCACATACTGTTTGTTGCATATAAGTTGGACAACATAACATATATCCCATCATTATGAGGATTCAACTCAATCGCCTTCTTAGCTGCAAATTTACCCAATTCCACATTCCCACTATCATTGCAGGCATTAAGCAGTGCTCCCCACATGGAAACAGTGAAACCCCTACTTCCTTTGGAGGAAAACTCTTCTACAAATTTCCATGCCTTTTCTAACTCTCCTGCGCGACAAAGCAAATCGATCAGACAACTGTAGTGCTCCGGACTATGTTCTAATCCATAATCACGAGCCATTGATTCAAAATACTCCATTCCAAGGTTCACTTGGCCAGTGTGGCTACAAGCTGAGATAACTGTCAAAAACGACACACCGTCCGGTTTGATTCCCTTGGTTACCATTTCTGTGAACACTGCTATCACTTGTTCGTAACTCCCATTTCGTCCGAGAACACCAAGCATTGAAGTCCATAGAACAAGATCTCTATTTCTCGCTGTCATTCTAAAGACTTGTCTAGCCTTTTCTAAGAGCCCACATTTTCCATACATTTCAATCAGCAAGCTTTGTAGGAATACATCGCTTTCCATATTACGAATTTTACGAATGGCACATCCATGGACCTGCATTCCCAATCCAACTGTAGAAATCCCAATACATGCACGCAAAACAGCGGAAAACGTGAAATGATCCATCTCTAAATATAAAGAAGGCAGCCTTCTGGCTAATGCAAGTGCCTTCTCCCACATCTTACACTCAGTGTAGCCGGATAAAAGTGCATTAGCGCACACACTGTTTCTTATGGGAATTTCGTCAAACAGTGAAGCTGCACTGCTGATGCATTGCAATTTTGTGTATAAGTCGATCATGGCACAACCAACATACACACTAGAAAACCAACCCGACTTTTCTATAAAGGTGTGAGCTTTTTCACCGAATTCAAGATTTTTGGTGCAAGACGCAGAAGTTATGGAGCTACACAACGCGTATGAGTCTATGTAAACGCCATTTGAGTGCATGAAAGAAAAGGTCTGCAAAGCAAGTGAATGATACCCGCGTTCGCAAAATCCGGAGATAATGGAGTTAAAAATTAAAGGGTTTCTGAGATTAAGGGTTCTCAAAGAATTGGTTAAGGTCCAGAGCAGGAGGTTGCTTTTCGGGGGAAGGCTTGTGGTGTAAGCAAATACAATCTTGGTCTGGAGAGTGGGAGTGAAAGATATTACCCCTGTTATGAGCAGGTGAGCATGAATTGCCCTAACAACTCTTAGATTCTTTATTTCAGTGAAATGGTCCAAAAGCTGTGTTATGGTCTTTGGTCCGGCTTGCACAATCGACTGAATTGTCATACCTAATAGTTGACGAAATATTTAATAAAGTAATCAAATCACGAATGAGGCTCAAGGCTGACATTTCGTTTCATTCAAAAAAACAGTAATCAATTAATCAAGGAAGGAGGCTCAAGGCTGGGTAGACGAGGAGTACCTGAAACCTAAACGGGTCTTAGGGGTGAAAGCCGAGAAGGCCAAAGGGGCAGCCGCGCAGGGCACTACTACCAGCGCGGCAGGCCGCAGGCGGCCTGGAGTGAAGGGTTCGCCGTCCGTTTTCTTTTCTGAAGCTTCCCAACTCATCTTGGGGCTGGACAAGATTATGGAGTACTACCTCCTTCCCATTGAATGTTCCCACTTTCTTTTTTTTGGATGTTGGAAAGTTCTTATTCCCCTAAATGGAAAGTTATCCTACATCAAAACAGTGTGAAACAGTGCAAAACAGTGTCAAACAGTGTCAAACAGTGTCCAAACAGTGTCCAAACAGTAAAATTTACCCCCTGATAAGTTTATTTCCTTAATATGTGTAGGTCAAACCGGGAACATTCCAACGGGATGGAGGGAGTATTACTTTAGAGCCCTCCCACCTAGGCATGGACCTCTTGGCCCGGCCGGTACAAAAGGAAGGGTAGGGCGGGAACTGCACCGCTTTAACACTTCGGGCCGGTCCTGGGCCCGGTTTTCGGGACAGTTCACTAGGCCGGGCCAGGCCTGCACAGTGGCGGGCCGGGCCGACCAGAACCGGCCCGTCCCTAGCCCCCTGAACATAATAGCTTGTTATCGAGAAGTGTTTGGATCTGCCTCTCGAAAGTGCTCTTGCAGAGTGCAAGCTATCTCTAGAAGTAGAAGTAGATTTTGTAATGTTTAAGCAGGGCCGTCTAGAGCAATTTTGAGGCACTAGACAACCAAATAATACTTCGTATTTAATTATGTGATACAACGTACTCACGTCTCACTAACGCTAGGTTATGATAAAGTTTTACAATTATTAAGAAAAGCTAGTTTATGTGATTGATATTGAAATGATAAAGTAAGTATGATTTAGAACCACACAAATTTTGTCAAATTTGACATGTGACATTCTTAATGCATAGGCTGAAAACGAAAGATGAGACAATTTTAGCGGAATAGAGAGAATATAACTTCAATATATTTTTTAGTAAAAAAATACAAAACTATAATAAGAAACAAATAGGAATGACATAGCCAGAAAGAAATATTAACGTGGCTTGGTTAGTTTTTTCCGGATGATCTTTTACACAATCTTCTAACATATAAAAATATATAACTATTTTACAAATTTGGGGAGGATTGGGGCCTAAAAATTTAAAGGACGTCCTAATTTAGACATTTCAACTAAATGTTTTCACTTTCTATTTTAGAAAACAATTAACTCTCTTAAGTCTTAAGTGACAATTTGATAATAAAATATTAAAAATAATACATTTATAACTCATTATATTATATACGTACACATCAAAACTATCTCTCTAAATATACTTGAATTAGGATGTTGAATTATTGTCTATGCATATGCATTATACTACCTCCGTCCCAAAAAACTTTGTCATTTTCAAAACTTTGACCGGATATATCTTTTTATTGAAAATGATTTATAATTTAAAAGTTATATGAAAATGTTCTTTGTTAAAAGTACTTTGATAAAAGTAAAATTTATAACTTACATAATATTATACTAATCAAAATTAAGGTGCAAATGTTTGGAAATGACAAAGTTTTTTGGGACGGGGGTAGTAGTTAACACAATCATGATTATTAAAGTTATAGTCACTAAAGTGTAAAAAGACATATTTTATTCACTCTTATTTAGATCTATATTTGTCATTATTTTCTAATATATCACCGAACATGGTTAATCTTGATAATTTGATTTTTTGCATCAACATATCTTTTGTTCTACACTAATTTTTAAGTATTTTACGGAGTAATTAATTTAATTAAAGATTTAAGGTATATATAATATTATTATTTTTTAAAATGGAGGCCCTATCAAATTAAATTTGGAGGTGAAAGTGTAGAAATAATTCTGATGGCTCAAATAAACTTCTAAAAAACCGATTCTGATTCTAAACTCCTGAATCTTTGAATAGGATTTCAATATGAAACTGGAATGAATAGTAGACTATACATGTTTGATACTTTGATGGAAAGGAGAAGTGGAATCGGTAGTACGATATATATTGTTGTAAGTCAATTAACTTGTACATGTAATGATCAACTACTATGATTTGTATATATCACAAACCATAAATTGATAAAAATCTACAGTATATTTCTTGTATCTATCAAGTGCTAATTGGTACAGTATGATATAACGAAATGCTTCATAACATTTCGAAAAAAATGGTGCAAGTCTTAACTGGGCCGGGCATATCAGACTTGATAAAAACCAGTTCTTCAACTTCTTCTTATCTTCTTTTCTTTTGCTCTAGGAGTGGGTTAGCAGATCCTGCTCAAATGAGATGCAATATCAACGAAGACCTCCTCCCGGCAAGGAATGGTGAGACCCCCCATAGGATGAGTGAACCCAAATTCCTCCTCAGCTTTGCTCAACAATTCCTGAAACAGCGGTTGACTTAAATATGAAATTGGGATGACAAATCTTGTCTTTTGATTCTCTCCTACATAAACTGCGCAGTGGCCTTTTGGGACATTCCTTGTTGTTGATGACTTCTTGATGATACCCATTCTGTAAAGATAAGATCTTACTTTTTCTTTCTGCAAATTACTAAGAGGAATGTGTTGGAACTTGGAAGTTTTATTGGAGATGAAGGAATGTTTTGAGTTGGTTTTTGGATACTTGGGAATGGGGGTATATATATGTAGATATATGTGTGTCAAAATGGTGAAGGAGGGGCCTCTTTGGGTCTTTGAAGAGAGACATGAGCACATGAAGAAGTTCTTCCTGAATAGGCAAACCATTCTAATCGCATTAAACTTATAGGACCCTCATTCCTCAACTTTGAAATGCTTTTATCAGGACGGTGTATGATAAACCATCATACCTTACAAGAAAACGTTGGCCCAAATAATAGTTTAATAAGTTTTATGAGAGTAGTTATGATTAATCAGTTGTAACTATCAATTGTGTTGGCACAGTTGAAGAACATCAAATCAGACCATAAAAAAAAACAGATGATCAAATTTATCATACTAGATTATGTTAAAGTGTAAATTATTATTACTATTACTATTACTATTACTATTACTATTACCATTACCATTACCATTACCATTACCATTACCATTACCATTACCATTACCATTACCATTACCATTACTATTACTATTACTATTACTATTACTATTACTATTACTATTACTATTACTATTACTATTACTATTACTATTACTATTACTATTACTATTACTATTACTATTACTATTACTATTACTATTACTATTACTATCATCAACAGAAGAACCATGCGGTGATGTGCTGCTACGTAAACATTTGTACATAAATAATAATAATAATAATAATAATAATAATAATAATAATAATAATTTACACTTTAACAGATTAGAAAAAAGAAAGGATATTTGAATGGGTCAATGATATTTGCTCTTGGATTAATTTCAATTTTAGATCACCAAAACTTATTTGATCGGAAGAGAATAATAATGTATTATCTTGGGACTTATGTTTAATTTTCCTAATTACGTTTTATTATAAATATAAGCATACGGCACCCAATAGGGTAAGCTATTACTTCCCAATTCTATTGTTTTGTATATGGTATCAGCTGCTAGGGCTTTCTAAACCTCTTCACCGATCCTATGGTCGGGCAGAACACCGTCGCCGCCATCATGATCTCCGCTCCAGCTACTTCGGAATCGGCGCCCGTAGGACAGGAGCAACCATCCGTCGCACCACCGGCATCTACAGTGTTTGATGCGTCGACCGGCTCCAGCACATCGCGTACCTCGGCTCCATGTTCCCTCTTGCTGATCGGCTCAGGCGCGATGCACATTCGTTCGCCTCTTCCGGCGTCTATCTCTCAACGGATGTCTACCATTCCACCTTTAGACTCGTTCCGATTGTTTAATATGCCGGAGTCATTCAGTTGGACGCCAACGCCACCTACTGCCCCGCAGCCAACTGCATCCGCACTGCCAGACATCGGGAGGCTCTCTCTTGGCTTCTCGGGTCCCACCTTTTCTGGCCAACATGGAATCGCACCGCTGCAGCAAGGCAGTTCGTCCTTTCTACCAGGTTTTACTCAAGCTCTGAGTTTATTATCATCTATGGCATCTCAACTCGCTTTTTCTACACCAAATGTTAATAACATTGTGACCACTCGATTATCTGCGGTTGGGGACAATTTGTTGTGGCGGACTCAGTTTGAGTCTTTTCTAGTATCCCACAATCTTTTTGGGATGCTAGATGGATCCATTCCGGTTCCGCCATCCACCATACTGGACTTGAGTAGGAGGGAAACAATAAACCCGGACTACCATCATTGGTTAAAATTGACCAAACCATCCGTTCTTGGCTTTTTGCGACCCTGGCTAGAGATATTTTAATGGATGTTTATAATCTTAAGCATTCACAGCTTATTTGGGATAGGCTTCAACAACGCTTTATGTCTGCATGTTTTTTTTCCTGATCCATAGAACTTAAACGTTCCTTATCACATATCAAAAAGAAATCTTCACAAAATATGGATCAATATTTATTGGAAATTAAGATCTTGGCAGAAAATTTAGCAGCTATAAACTCTCCAGTTAGCGACAAGGAATTAATTGAATATGCCATTCTTGGACTGGGACATGGCTATGAGTCACTTATTACGGCTATCAATTATTTCCATGGCAATGCGACATTGGACAATTTGAGGCCTATTCTTGAAGCACAGGAGAAGACAAATGCACTATTTGATGCTCAGGACTCGGCACCGGTACATCAAGCATTTGCAGCGGCCAATGTTAATGCACCCGCAGCACTTGGTGGCCGAGGGGGTGCTCCTCGGGGAGGGGGGGGGGGTGCTCCGAGAGGTCCTGATGGACGTGGCTAGCGCGGTGGTAGGGCTCGTGGCGGACGAGGCCGAGGTGGCCGTATGGCGGGCAATATGGACAGCAGCAACCTGTTCCTCTACCACCCCGTGGACCTACATTTTCTGGAATTCCAGGTTCGACATTGTGTAATATATTTCACTTCTGGTGTTAATTGTACTGTTTATTCTCCTATTTCTTCTACTCGCAAGCTCAGTGCAGGTTTTCCATCTGTGGATCAGTCCTATCAGTCTCTTCCACCCCCAGTTGTTTGTCAGTTATGTTTTTCTCCGGGTCACTCCGCCATGCATTGCTCCTGTTTTACTGGTTCAGCGTCACCCGCTCTGGCTGCCATACCCACTGGTGAGACCAATGACTCAGTTTGGTACCCTGACTCTGGGGCTTCCGCTCACATGACTCCTCACAAAGGTATTCTTTCTTCTAAAACTACTTACACCGGTACTAATCAAGTATGTGTCGCTAACGGTACCAAACTACCTATTTCACATATTGGTAATTTAAAGCTTAATACAAATGGCCTCCCGTTAAATCTTAACTCGGTTTATCATGTCCCTCACATTAAATACAATTTACTTTCTATTAAAAATTGTGTGCAGATAATGCTTGTCAAGTTATTTTTGATAAAAATTCTTTTCGTGTTAAGGACACTCAAATGGGGGAGCTTCTACTTCAGGCAACTAATAAAGACCATGTCTACCCTTTTCATGCTCTTCATGCCCGAGTTGTTCCTGGTCCAATTTGGCATAAGCGTCTGGGGCATTGTGGTGATAGAGTCCTTGGTCGTCTTAGGCAACAAAATTTAATTTCTAGTTCTTCTACTTTTTTACATGACTGTGTTTCTTGTAAGCTGGGTAAATCTCACAGACTTCCTTTTACTGATGTTATTCATGACTCCACCGCACCATTACAGATTATTCATTCTGATGTTTGGCAATCGCCAGTTTTATCCAATCTTGGATATAAATATTATGTATCTTTTATTGATGATTTTTCTCGCTATACATGGCTTTATCCTATGTGTAGAAAATCTGAGGTGTTTACTCACTTTCTCAATTTTCAAAAATTAGTTGAAAATATTTTGAATTTGAAAATTAAAGTCTTTCAGAGTGGTGGTGGTGAGTTTGATAACTCTGCTTTTTAGGAACATTTTTTAACGTCTAGAATTTTATTTAGAAAGTCATGCCCAGATACTCCTTCTCAAAACAGTGTAGCTGAGAGAAAACATAAACATTTACTAGAATTAACTAGGACTATGTTAATTGATTCCTCTCTTCCTAGTCAATTCTGGGTTGATGCTTTATACACCACAGTTTTTATTATTAATAGACTCCCTACACCTATTTTGAGTGGGTTGACTCCTTATGAGAAACTTTTTAATAAAATTCTAGATCATAATTTTCTCCGTATTTTTGGTTGTTCTTGTTTTCCTAATTTTATTGCTGCTTCTCATAACAAGCTATCACCGCGCTCTATACACTGTGTTTTAATTGGCTATGCCCCGGGGTACAAGGGTTACCGTTGTCTAGCTCCTTCTATTGGTAGGGTCTATGTTAATCGGGATGTTATTTTTCATGAAAATATTTTTCCTTATCCCACTCTTGTTTCAACACCCACAACTACCACCCCGTCCTTATGGTTGTCTTGGTTATCCACCTCTACTCAAAACCCCGTACTAGGGGTGGGCAAACGGGTCTTGGAACCGCGGTCCGGTCCGGGTAATGGCGGTTCGGGTCCAAAACGGGCCGGTTCCATTTTTTGTTGCCATAAAACGGTCCGGGTAGGGTCGGGTAATTTTTTTTAAAGAACCGGACCGGTTCCAAAATTAAAAAATAACGGGTACCCGGCCCGGCCCGTTATATACTCCGTATGTTGTATATAAATTTATTAATAGTTTTGTGATAGTTGGCTTTGAAATAGTTTTGTTTCCTTTGCTAGAAGTAGGATTTTAAATTGAGTTGTAGTAACATCCTTTTGTTTTCAAATTATTGATTAAATTTTTCATAAATATCTTATTACTATTTATTGTTATTGAGTTATTCCTTTCTATGGAATTTAATTATTTGATAAAAATGATTTTGTTATATTTTTTTATAATATTGTTCTTAAAATATATAAATTATGTTTACCACCCACCATGTATGTGTCAACTTTGGCTAATACTTAAAATTAAATTAAAAAAAAAACAATCACTTTAATATGTGATGTTAGATAACATGTTTAAATACAAATGTTAGAAAATATTTTTTTTTGGCTATGTTGCATATTTTTGGAATTTCTTTAATTGTTTGAAACTTATATACATGAAATTATGGAGAATTGGACTTATCGCTTGTGTTACATGTGCACCACTATGTTGTTATTTTGAAACTTCCTAATGTCCTATATTATTGGTTATTGATTTTTGGAACTTCATGAGTTTTTACTAATTTTAAGACATGAGAATAGAAACCGTAAAACCCGGACCGGACCGACCCGTTTCAAACAGGCCGGGTAAGGTCCGGTTCCTATTTTGAAAATTGCAATACTCGAACCGGACCAAACCGCACAATGGAACCGACGGTTCCATTTTATTTTGCATTACCCGTCCCGACCCGGCCCGTGCCCAGCCCTACCCCGTACCCAACCAGCCCCTCAGCCAATTTTCTGGCCAAATCATCGTACCCCCAACTTCCCATTTACTTGGTGAAGCTACTGCCATCCCACCGACCACACCAACCCCCGCGCCCATATCACAACCAACTCCTCCCAGGCCGTCCTCTGTGTCCCTAACACAACACCCAGCCCATCCGTTTCCTCTACGAATAGTTCACCTGACCACGACCAC